GCCTCTTGATTTATACTTCAGAAATTCGTTGGTCTGCCCTTTGCCATCGGCCCTTGGTGCTCACAGTCCCCCTGTGGTACTTGCTGGACTGGACTGGGACTCTCTAGACCCTTCTGCTGACTGTAGGCAGTCGTACCGTCGACTCAGTGCAGTTACACTGAGGTCCTACCTGTTGACCTTGCCACTTGTCTTCGTCTGAAAACGTGGGCCTACCTTAGACTCRCCACTTGACCACTTGCCGACCTTCTAGAAGGACTAAAGCTAGGCCTCTGGACTCTACTTGGACTCCTACCTTACAGGTCTACAGTTCGAATCTCCCTACAGCCTACAACCTACGGCGACCTACTTACCACTGGCTATCGTGCAGGTCACGGGTTCAACTCCAGGGAACTGTGCAGATACTGTACACAGGTAAGCTGAGGTCAAGGGATCGACCCCTGGGATCTGCATCGGCTACTGCCAAAGGTGAAAACTGTTTCAGAAGAAGAAGAAGAAGAAGAAAGGGGGTGGGGGGGACTACGCAGGAGTCACAAAAGTGAGTTATACTTGCACTACGGGCCAAGATACAGTTTCGAATTGCAGTCTGGGCAATGTATACAACCCAGCTTCTGGCAAGGTAGGGTGCCCAAAGTGCAATTGCAAACTGTATCTTGCGCCATCGTAGTCCAATTATAACTCGTTTTTGTGACTCTATGGAAGTTGCCCCTTCTTTTTTTTTGAGCACAGGCTTCTTAACTGACCACCAAGGATATCCAAGCCCTTAAATCAACTAAAGTGATGTTGGGGCATGGTTGGAAAGAAAGAAAAAATTGCAGGTATCTGGACCTAATTACAGTCAGAAATACCTTCAGGCCCATTTGCAGAGCTCCGGTCAGGTTAATCGATCCCAGGGGCGGCTGGGGGTGGGGGTGGGGGGCTGGGGAGGAGGGGGTGTTGAGGGGGCCGGAGGTTGTGCCATCGCATTGGAAACAAATTATTGCAGGAACAGACATGAACCGAAATTGAAGAGGATTGCTAAATTGGTTAAAAACAAATACAAAGACTCAAAATTTTGATTTGCAGGCGGGGGGAAAGTTTGGTAATCGCATTCCTAGTGGATGTTCTACGCAGCACCTGAAAACTCACATATATGTGCAGCATACGAATAAGTTTTTTTCTTTTCCTGTTTTGCCTTTGCGTCTTGTTCTCTGGAGCGAAGTCAGTCTACAAACTCACCATTCTGAGGCGTTTAACATCATCCTTGTCACTTCCGCTCTCATCACTTTGCCCATCCCAAACCCGCCTGCTGCCAGAGAACCGAGAGAAAACCAACCAACACAAACCAATGTTAGACTTGACAACAAGACGAGTTGAAGGACGAGGAGGGAGAGGAGGGAGAGGAGCGAGAGGAGGAAGGGGAGGGAGAGGAGCGAGAGGAGGAAGAGGAGGGAAGGAGGGAGAGGAGGGAGAGGAGGGCGAGGAGGGAGAGGGAGTAAAGAAGGGAGAGGAGGAAAGGGAGGAAGAGGAGGAAGGGGAGGAAGATGAGGGAAGGAGGGAGAGGAGGGAGAGGGAGTAAAGAAGGGAGAAACCAGTTGACAGACACCAACCCCACAAAAGATAAAAAGTGGAGGTAGAGAAAAGGAAGAGGAGAAGGTGGAGGAAGAGGCGGAGGAGGAGGAGGAGGAGGACGTGTGCCTGGGTGAATACGGTTCAGTGAGAAGGGAGAGGAGGGAGAGGAGGGAGAGGAGGGAGAGGACGGAGAGGAGGAGCAAAAGGGAGGAACTAGTTGACAGACACCAACCCCACAACAGAGACAAGGAGGAGGTAGAGGAAAGGAGAAGGACAAATACAATTCAACAAAACCAAAAAAATGAAAGGAGGAGGAGGAGGAGGAGGTGGAGGAGGAGGAGGTGGAGGACGTGAGCTTTGGTAAAGCGGGTTTGATGTGAATGGTGCTTGGTCATGGGTCATTGAGAAAGAGGGGAGAAGCAACTTTACTGATACCGGCCCATCTTATTGCTCTTTTGCAGCTAGGAGCAATTTCCCCCAGCAAGCCTCCATGTGTCATTCTCTTTTACAACCATTGCCACAAATCATCAGCAAAAATCACCAAAGCAGACGCAGACTCAGAGGCACCTAGCAGATCTTGTGAAGCTCCGACTCAGAGAATCTGATATCGATTCATCCTACCACCCCTTTCCAATTGAAAAATATGTCGCCTTCCATACCTCAATATCCCCATACATTACCAGAAATCCTAATCTGCAAAATGCAATCGGAGCTTGTGACACAAGTTCAAACAACCAGGCAGAATCAGAAGGCAAGCTGCACAGAGCGTACTGAACTCTCTCTCTCTCTCTCGCACGCACGCGCACGACACTGCGCACGTGCGCTATTGCTCTCTCTCTCTCTCTCTCTCTCTCTCTCTCTCTCTCTCTCTCTCTCTCTCTCTCTCTCTCTGTCTGTGTGTGTCTCTCACTCTACACACATATATATCGTCACAAACAGAACTGCCCGGTAAACCGTAGGCAGAGAGAGATATATATACTGTCACATAACTATGAACTAAAAGAGCGCTATTTGCGAAACAAACGGCAAAAATAAAAAATCAAAAAAACAAGACAAACATGAAGGGCACAGTGAAACCATTCATTTTACATATATCTATCTATCTATCTATCTAACTCTGATGCTCTCTCTCTCTCTCTCTCTCTCTCTCTCTCTGCACAGCGTGTCTGAATGCTGTAGGGAGCGACCCACCCGCGGTGTCTGAGAGTTTTTTTTTTTCTTCCTGTGGAATTGAACTCCGCGTTCAGTCGCGTTCAGTGAACGCGCGATTTCATAAGTAGAAGTTAGTAGGACTAGAGTAGGTGTGTTAGGGGACTATGGTTAGATGCGTAGGTATATTAGTAAACAAGGACTAAAGAAACTGCATCTAGGAATGAAAGTGCAGAAGCTGGAAGAGCCCGTAGTGAGCAAGCTGGCAGATAACCGAGAGATGAGGGCTGCCGATTTCGTCGAGAGGTCAAGGGATGCTTCCGGTTGGAAGGGGGAGAATAAAAAGAGTGAAAAAGTGTTGCATTCGAGGCCGATTTGAAGATGGGCAAGCACGAGTGTCGGCTGCCCAGGCCCCAAGGCGGCAAAGAGAAGACTAGACTGTTCCACGAGTCTGAAGTCCAGTCCGCCCTTTCATCACGTTATATGAGTTCCCCCACATTCGCTCGGCATGTGGTCAAACAGATATTGTTGACAAAGTCTTCGTTGCTTATGTTAGGCCAGTTAGTGAGGATAGCAAGGAGGAACAAACCGTACCGCCCCCCATTCAGAATTTGCTAGTGGAATTTGCAGACTTGGGAGAAACCCCAGCCGGTGTAGTTCATAGAGAGATCAAGCACCGCATCAAGACTGCACATGGTAGGACTCCCAAGGGCCCGATCTATAGGATGTTCCCTAAGGAATTAGAAGAACTAAGGAAACAAATAGATGAACTGACAAAAAAGGGGTGGATAAAACAAAGTTCCTCGCCCTACGGTCCGCTGATCCTATTCATGCCTAAAAAGGAACGTGAACTGCGTACGTGCATACATTGTAGAGGTCTAAATGCTATAATTGTCAAAAATGTTGCGCCGTTGCCGAGAATAGATGACTTGCTGGACAGGGTGCAAGGTCGTAAGTATTTCTCTAGAAGTAAGTATTTCTCTAGAAGATAGATCTGAAGTCGGGGTACCATCAGATTGAGGTACAACTCGAGGATCAGCACAAGACGGCGTTTAGGACCTTGGCTGACCAAAGCCCCTGCCACATTCCAAAGATGAATGAACGATACGTTTAGAGAATGGGTGACAAATTCGTCGTAGAGTATTTAAACGATATACTGGTTCTTAACAAGTCTCTAGAAGAACGTCACGAGCACCTTCTACTGATTCTGCACAAGCTTCGAGAAGCTACGTTCAAGTTGAATCCCAAGAAGTGTGAATGGGCCAAGCGTCAGGTTCTATACTTAGGCCATGTCGCAGATAAAAGACGGAGTTCGGCCGGAAGATGAGAAAATTGCAGCAATTAGTGATTGGCCGACCCCCGCACACTTTGACTGAGCTGGGGCCGTTCCTTGGTTTGGCCGAATACTACAGGAAGTTTGTGCAAACCTTGACTGTAATAGTTGCGCCGCTACGCAAACTTCTACGGAAGGAAGCTGTGTGGAAGTGGGACAAAAACTACACGTCCGCTTTCAAGAAACTGAAGAAGTGTCTAATAAGTAGTATCCGGACTTGAAGATAGTTGACCAATCGCTCCCGTTTGTTGTCACTACAGATGCAAGTCAATACGGCATTGACGCACTCCTACAGCAAATAAATACAATGGATACAGGCCGGTCGAGTTCATGTCGCATAAGCTGTCATGTGAGAAGGTTGTTGGGTCAACCTACGAACGAGAACGGTTTGCCCAGAGGGAAGCCTTAGCCAATTGGAAACACTACCTGTTAGGGAGTCACTTCAAAGTTCGAAGTCTATTCGGACCACGACACTGTGTTCGCTAAAGACTCGATCCTGGGTCTCCACAAAGTTAGCTAGGTGGGCCATTAAGATAGATGAGCTCGATTTCTAGCTCAAACCTGTCAAGGGTAAGTACAATGTTGTCACTGATGCACTTGGTTGACGCACAGATTTCTGTAGAGCTGTAGTTATCTATTTAGACATAGGTGCCAAACTGCAGCAGAAAATCAAGGATGCTAGTAAGGAAGATAAAGTCTATAGCGAGATTATTTGCAAGGTGCAGACTGCACCTCACGTAAGGAAGATAAAGTCTATAGCGAGATTATTTGCAAGGTGCAGACTGCACCTCACGAAGAACCCAACTACGGAATGAAAGATGGACTGCTGTTTGAGAAGACTGAGAAGGAGAACGGACTGTGCATACCGAACAATGAGGAAATTTGCAGCCTCATACTGGGCGAATGTCATGATTCAAAGGGCCATTTAGGATGGAGGACACGTATGCGAACCTCCTTAAGGTGCTACACGTGGGTTGGGATGAAACAAGACTGTATCTTGTACATCCAAGGCTGAAAAGTCTGTCAGCAGAACAAAAGTTTCATGCAGCCTCCCCAAGGTTTGCTAAAACCACTCCCTATACCATCAGGCATGGGAGACTCGATTTCATAGACTTCACGGATACACAAGTCAACAGTCGAAGTGGTAAGACTCGAGTCATGGTTGTAGTTGATAGGTTCAATAAATTTGTTGTTTCGTTCCCTTGCCCGCTGAGGCAAAGACAGATCGTACGTTCTTTGATCGTTGGGTCGCAGAGTACGGACACACATTGACCATAGTTAGTGATAGGGACACTAGGTTTACCGGCGAGCACTGGCAACAACTAATGAAAGTCTATGGGTCTAGACTCACTATGTCATCAGGCAGACACCCCGAGACTAACGGACAAACTGAACAAATGAACACACTGCTACAGCAAGTGCTTCGCGTGTACATTAGACCAGACGAGGTAGACTGGGACGAACTTCTACCCAAGGTAGCTAGTGCCTACGACAACTCGTCGAACACCAAATGAGTTGCACAAGGGGTGCCGTCCACGACGAGCGATAGACTGTTTGAATCCCGACCAGATTCAGATACTGCCACCCAGCACTAGTGAATTTGCAGTGCACTACGAGAAGGAGATACAGAAAGTCACCGAGAACATCCGCAAAACCCAGCACCAGATGGTAGAACAGGCTAACAAGCATCGTAGGCCGTCGAAGTTTGCTGTTGGTGACCTTGTCTGGGTTAAGTCAAAAGAGTTCATTACGGAGGAGAACATTTCTCAGAAGTTGCTACCTGCTCACAGAGGACCGTGGGAGATCCTAGATGTCATTGGAGACGCAGACAGTCCCTCCTACACTGTTGACATTCTGGTGCATCTGCACACACACCCGGTGTTCCACGCATCTAAGTTACTACCTTATACCACTAATGACCCCTTACCTTCACGTAGATTGATGATCCCTCCTGATATGGATGGAAAATATGGCATTGACCGTATCTTAGAAAAAGAAGTATACACAACTGGAAGGAGGGGTAGGCCACAGCGGCAGCATAAGGTTGGATTCTATGAATCCCCCGCGGCCGCGGGCCCGCGGTCATGACCGCGGTCCACGGCCAAGGGAAAAAAAAAAAAAAAAATTCAGAAAAATCTGAAAAAAATATATGTTATGCCAAAAAATAAACTGAACAACTTTTGCCTTGGGGTCATATCAAAATTCGTTACCAAATTTGAGATAAAAAACAAACAAAATCCTTATATTTTTCTTACTAAAAGAATAAAGTGAAGAACTTTTGCCTGAGGGATTTCTGTTTTTCATTTTTTTTAAATCCAAAACGAAGTCAAAAAATAAAACTAAAAATAGGTTGTAGAGCGCAAAAAAACCTACAACCCCATATATATATCGTCACAAACAGAACTGCCCGGTAAAACCGTAGGCAGAGAGAGAGAAGAGGACAACAAACGAGGGGCTGTGACAAACTGTTTCGTCGGAGTTTCACCGACTATGTATATATCGTCAAATAGAACTGCCCGGTAAACCGTAGGCAGAGAGGGTGGCCTATTATCCTAGGAATTAAAAATGTCGGGGTTTTCCAACCGCGGCCCTCGCCCACAGCCGACCTCGGCGGTCGGAATCCCGGCCGCGGGCCGAGATTGACCCCGCGGTCATGACCGCGGGGGATTCATAGGTTGGATTCACTTATCAAGAGCCAGAAAGCATAAGGAATAAGGTTCGATTTGCTTATCAAGAGCCAGAACTGGACGAAGGCGTAGGCAGCAGTGGCAGTACAGGAGAGATGAACTGATGGAGCCTCATGCTGTGTCCTACCATGAGCGTACTATGAAAGGTATCAAGTTACTATTAAAGGTTGGATCTTTCTCGGATGACCTCGAAATTAGGCTGGCCGGAGTGAAAGGATATCACACAGTCCATCCCATGAGCCCCGGTCCAAGGTACCAGATGCTCCCGGTCCCAGGCTGTCCCGATAGGGTGGGTCCTACGGTCCGTAGGTTGAAGCGTTGTAGGTCGATAGGTGTCCGGTACAAAAACGTCCCAGGTGGGTAAGAGTCCATCAGTACCCGCAGTGGTCCCATATGCTCCCAGTCCCAGGCTGTCCCGGTAGGGTGTGTCCTAGGGTCCATAGGTTGAAGCGTTGTAGGTCGATAGGTGTCGGGTACAAAAACGTCGCAGGGTAAAAGTCCGTCGGTACCCGCAGTGGAAGTCAAGTCCCAACTCCACCTTGTGCTGAAGTCCCAAGAAAGCTCAGACACTTCTGGAAACACAGATTTTGGCAAGCCAGAGGCTGTGGGCGACCGCTACCGGTCCGAAGCAGGCATGAGTCACTCAACTGCAACTATATTTAGCTGCTACAGTGTTCTGCCACAACAGTTGCTCACTCGCAAAGTTGCAGAGGCGCTGCCAATTGCTTATGCGATAGAGCGACCTGGACGAAGGGCAAGCATCAGGGGGGGAAGCAAGCGCCCTGGCAGAGTAGTCTACATAGTTAGGTTAAGAGGGAGGAGGAAGACGGCGGGCATAGCCGCCCAGCTTACACGTGATATGTGGCAGTAGCATTCAGGGAGATCCAAGGCAGAGAGAGAGAGGGAGAGAGAACTTCAGTGAGAGGAGAGGTTGAGCGATACAAGTCTAGAGAGAGAGAGAAGAACGAGAGAGAAAGAGAGCCAAACACCAAGAGAGGGGCAGTTAGGTACATACCTGCAGTTGAATTGTCGTGTTGGATTGCGGCCGCTGAACATCTTAACTCTCCAATTGAATTATATCATATTTTTTAGTGGAATTCAGGAGCTAAATCTTGTGTGATCTCTCGAGTGTGTTGTGACCTTCCATGCAAACGTTCTCTTCATGTGTGTTGTGTTCTGAGTTGGATCTTGCCAGGATCATTGCAAGACACATCATCTCTCTCTCTCTCTCTCTCTCTCTCTCTCTCTCTCTCTCTCTCTCTCTCTCTCTCTCTCTCTCTCTCTCTCTCTCACGCGCACGCACACCCCCCCCCGCCCCCCACCCCACCCCCCACACACACACACACACTTTACAGGGCCGAGAGGGATGGATAGCTAGCTCACCTTCGTGTGCTTCCAATGCTCTTATCCTCGGTGCTTGCCTCTGAAGCAACATCAGGTGCTCTCGACACAACATCTTTTAGGAAATCAAATACAGCATTGGACATTACGCATGCCTTGCTGGAAAGGACAAGAAGAAAAGCGGAGAGACAGGCACATAATTTAACTGTTAACAAACATGCGTCCCTGATTCAAGAAGTCGAAACATCGAATCAAACACAGAACGTCAGACAGTGTTCTCTGACTTCTACTAAGCATGCCCAATGTTGCATCTTCTTCATACCTCTCTCTCCCTCTCTCTCTGTTGCATACCGTATAGGTGCAGACCAGAACGAGAACCGACCTTTCAATACAAAGTATAAGATAGCACAACGGAAGACTTAGATACCAATGATCCGAACAATCAATAGTGCAATGCAGCCCCGAACATACATCATCATCATCATGGTCGGAAGGGGTCTGGCGCTTCACTCAAGAAGACTGTGCCAGCCCCGAACATACACAGACGAAGGAGGTGGGGTTTACACGAAGAAGAAGGGAAGATGGGAATGTCATCAACACCAAGTGTTCAGCACAGGCCCAAATAGTCCCTCGTCCAAATGTCTGAATCCCAATGTCGAGTCTGGATACAATGTCGTCAAGTCTCATGTCACAACTCTGTCTCTCTCTGTCGTAGTCTGAGAAGTCAGGTGGTGAGAGGGTGAGAAGAGATGGTGGACTTAGAGGAAGAAGAAGAAGGAACTCTCTCTCTCTCTGTATCCAGTACTAACCTGTGAAGTTGGCGCATTGATGCAGGTACCACGAAGATGGAGCTAGAGCGATGGCGCCACAGGTAAGTACCACTGGCCTCCGCCAGTGTCTCTCCCAACTCTACTACCTACCACCTAAAGCGCCCAGCGCTGAAGACTACTCTAGCTATGGGCGCCCAGCGCCGAAGACTACAGCTAGCGCTAATACTACCTAGCGCTGAAGACTACTGCAGCGCTCCTCCTGAGTGCTGCGGCCGCATCCTGAAGACTACTCTTGCGAATGGCCAACTACCTACCCGTGAAGTGCCTGGGAAGGCCTATGTACTACCACGGGTGTGTCTCCTGAGCCGTGCGAGCAGTTCAGGAGGCTGCTCTTGCCAATGCCGAAAGGAGGCACGGGCTGCAGCTGCAGCTCCTGCTCGAGCTGGCGTGGGAACAGGCCAGAAATAGCCTGTTCCGAAACCCAGCTTTCGTGCCTGAGTCTTAGGGCAGGTCGAAACAAATGACGGCCTGAAAATGGCCCTCCGTTTCAGGCTGGAAAAACTCCGGGTCTAAAAGACCCAAAAATAGGCTGAAACGGAGTAGGGCCTGCAGGCCCTCGTTTTTCAGCTTTCAGGCTGAAACGACCGGGGCCTGTAAGCCCTAAGTTTTAGGCTTTTAGGCTGAATGTCCGGGACGGGCCCTGCAGGGCCCGTGTGGCTATGCAGTATGCCACCTCTCTCTCTCTCTCTCTCTCTCTCTCTCTCTCTCTCTCTCT